TTTTAACATTTCACTGAGCTTTGTACAAGTATTAACACATGCTAGGAAATAAATGTGATATCATTCATAAATATTCGTTAAAAATAAACAAAACTCAACAATCCTAAAAACGCAAAACTAGTGCTAACTTACAGAAGGATCTATATATAGACGATCAGTACCAGTACGTTGGTTTAGGAGGTTTGAAATCTTTGATGCCCATCTCAGCTGCTATTTCTTCTTCGAATGATGCTAATTTTGGAACGTAGGTGCGTTCTAAGACTAGATTCGGCGGTGTATCCTTATCTTCTACCTCTGAAAAAAAAAGAATCGAAAAAGTGGAATATATGTCAGCCGTCTCGATGTGAGTGTAACAGCTTTAGCGGCTCGGGCTCTCGCTACCGCCTCGCATGGACTTGTGCCGCATTCGCGAGTGTATTCTCTGGGCATTTTCGCACACCTCAGCGGCGAATAAGGATTGCTGAGACGTGCAAAAATGTCCAAGGGATACAATCGCGAACGCAGCACAGGTCTGTGCGAAGCGGCCGCGATGTCCCGAGTCGCTAGAGTTGTGACACTCATAGTGAGACATCTTATAACTGTAGACCAACCTATATACTTCTCTGGTTGCAGGTATTCATAGGTTACTTTTGCTTGGCTAGGTATGGGGATCTCAAAACCTGATCGTTCGGAAATTCTTATATACTCGTCGCCAGCGGTGTTTAGAGTCCATCTAGAAAAAGAAGAGATGCTTGGTGGAATTTGGTGGACATAAAGAAAACCCATGACATACTTCGCTTCACAAGGTTCATTATCATTGGGATCCACTAGCTTCACCTGTTCTTTGTCCACTCTCAAGGGCTGCTCTTTCCACCTGATACATCACATATTTTTTGATTTTCTGAGCAAGGAATCTGCGCTTACCTTAGAGTCTCATCTATTCCCAACTTCTTCACTCCTTCTACTTCAACCTCAAGTTTACAGTGCATTCCTTCAACCAGAACCTCATTGGTGTCACGGGAGATTGACATGACAGTCCCTTGCTTCCCTTTGTCCTTGCCGACCATGACCTTAAATTGAAAGGCTACTGGGGAAGATCCGCTCAAGCGCGAGCCCAATTACAAAGCTTTAAGATTCAGAAATCTGGAACAACTGCGGCACACTTTCACAGGTTCGTCATTTGACGATGTGTAAGCGGAAATTGGAATTGCATCAACTTTGCCCACGTGAAACCAATACCCGTCTATTAGTGCGCCGCATTTGCTTGATTGTTTTGCAAATTGAATAACGCTTGCTTACGATAAAGTAGAAATGAGACAAACGAAAAAAAA